TTTTTTTTTTTTTGCCATACAAACGCAAGACAAGAGGCAGGGTGATCAGGATGCTTCTGATTGAACAAGGCCACCATTGCTATGTGCTTTCCATTGTGATTACTGTCAAAACAAATTGGTTTCTTATTATTTTAATATTGTGCCTTTAGGAGCTTAGTTTTGAATGTGGAGGGACTCCCTACTTGCATGAGTGTATTGATCACTTTTGTTGAGTACCTGCTAGGTTCAAGGCACTGTGATGAGGGCTATCAGGAATGCAAAGACAAGCAAATCACCAGCCCTTCTTCACTAAAGGAGCTTATTATCCATTTGGGAAAATAAGAAAAATAGACTTTAAAAATTAACATAAAAAGCATCATATGATAACGGCAAAGTAAGTGTGACAAGCAATGTTTTTAGCTTTTTTGTTTTGTTTTGAACTTTGATTTCTCTCATCTGGAACAATCTAATACTTGTTAGCCTTTTGTCTCAGGTCTAGAGTTTAGGAAGCTACACTTTATGTTATTTTCCCATCACTGATTCCCTCAGAGGGATTCATGGAACTTGTATTGACAATTAAAATATCATTTCTTATTTGAAAATAATAGGGATAGAAACTAGACCTGGGATTTCGGTGGTCTAGGAAATCTCCATCTACTACTGCTGGTCAACATCTCCAAAAGTATAGTTTTAGGTTCCCTACAGTAGTGAGAGGTTTAGTGACTTTCCCAGGGTTTCATAACCAATATGTGTTATAGGAGGCAATTAAACCCATTTTTTCTTTGGCCTCTAGGCCATTTCTGTATGCACTATTCCATGTAGTCTTTCTTTGAAAATAGTACTTAAACTTGAAACAAGCAGATATCCTAATATAGCTTTTTCTGACATCAAGTTGCACTTCTTTAGTGACAAAAGCAAAATACAAATATCCTTTGGAGTGAGAAGTAAGGGGATCTAAAAGTGCCAGATCTCAAACTGTATTACAAACCAGTAATCATCAAAACAGTTTGAGTACTAGTTAAGAAATAGGTTGATCAATAGAAGATTAGGTACACAATATGCAGAAGCAAATGAGCAGTAGCCTCGTATTTGAAAACTCAAATATCCTAGCTGTTGGTACAAAAACTCATACTAATTAACTTATAGTAATGCCTGGAGTTAGTTAACTTGATTGCCTGTGAAAGCTGAGGCTGTAGGGGTTGGGAAGGACAAGTGGAGTCATCCAGTAAGAAAAAAGTTTTGTTCTAAAATGAAAAGTTCGACCATGAGAAGATTAAGACTGACCCTATATAATTTTCTTATTGATCATATTTACAGTTAATTGACTTTTGTCCTGAAACTGCTTAAGTCATTGTCCTTTGTCTCTGAACTTAGTTCAGCGTTTAGCTGGCCCGTAATGAGTTAAGTTTAAAATCCAGCTCCCTTGCATCAAGGAATTTAACTGACTTTGGAAAATGTGTGAGAAATCAAGGGAGTTTGGGCTGGATATCTTTATGCCACCACACTATCCTTCAGGGATATCTGGTTTGCTGTCCAAAAGTCCGTACTGCTATCTCACACCTGCACTCAGACAACGAGCGCTTCATGGTCTCATGAGAAAAGGGGGGTCGTTGCTAGTCCCCATTACCAAACTTCCAACCAATCATGTTGTTCCCGTGCCTCAGTTCCATAACCAGTCATGTTGGTCTCAATTCCATGATGTCATCTGCTCTGCTCTGTTCTCTGTTCTGTACTCCCCAAAAGCTATATAAGAGGAATTGTCCTCTTACTTGGGGTCTTTGGCATTAATGGAGGCAATCCATTGACCCATTTATTGCAGGTAACATGCCCCTGCTAACAAATGTTATCTTGCGCAGAGATCTACCTCAGTTTACCCTTTTGTTAAAATTCAGTCATGACAACTATGTGATTTTATTGGATTTCTGATGTTCCATGCTTCCTTATCTTATATTTGGACTTTTTTTTTTAAACTGCAAAATCATGGAGGAGCTAACAAATGAAGTACTGTGTATTGCTATAACTTTGCTCAGTGAGAATTGTTTCCAGGGTGCATAGTTCATATTATTTCCCAGGGTTCTATTGAATCCTAGTAGCTTGAATGTGTATTTGTACCAAAGAGGTGTGGGCCATTGGATTTTGATACTAATAGCTAGAGTGGCTTAAGAACTAGCTGGATCTTTCTGCCTGCTTTTTAAAATTACAAATTTAAAAACTCTATAGAAACAAATATTGAATTTAATTTTTTTCACATTCATTTTTAAAAATTTTGAGTTCCAAAATCTCTCCTTCCTGTTCCTCCCCTACCCATTGAAAAGGCAAATAATATACCAATTATAGATGTGATGTCTTGCAAAACATATTTCTATATTAGCCATGTTAGGGGAGAAAAAAAAAACCAGCAAAATTTAAAAAGTAGGGAATGCTTCAATCTACACTCAGAGATCATCAGTTCTCTTTCTGGAAATAAATAGCATTTTTCATCCTGGGTCCTTTGGAATTATCTTGGCTTGTCTTGATCAGAGTAACTGAGCTTTTCACAGTTGATCATCCTTACAATATTGCTGTTACTGTGTACAACATTCTCCTGGTTCTGCTCACTTCATTCTGCATCAGTTCATATAAGTCTTTCAAGATTTTTCATCCTGCTTATCATTTCTTGTAGCACAATAGTATTCCACCACAATCATATACTATGACTTATTCAGCCATCCTCCAATTGATGAACAATCCCCTCAGTTTCCAATTCTTTGCCTACCACAAGAGGAGCTGCTATAAATATTTTTGTACAAATAGGTCCTTTTCCCTTTTTTTAAATCCCTTTGGGATACAGATCTAGTAGTTGTATTGCAGGGTCAAAGATACGCACAGTTTTATAGCCCTTTGGGCATAGTTCCAAATTGTTCTCCAGAATGATTGGACTAGTTCACAACTCTACCACAGTATATTAGTGTAACTGTTTTTCCACATCCCCTCCAGCATTTATCATTCTCCTTTTCTGTTAGCCAGTGTTAGTCAATCTGATAGGTGTGATGTGGTACCTCAAAGTTGTTTTAATTTGCATTTCTTTAATCAGTAGTAATTTAGAGGATTTTTTTCATGATTATTGATAGCTTTGATGACTTTATCTACTACCTGTTTATATCCTTTGACCATTTATCAAACTGAGGAATGGCTCTTATTTTTATAATTTGGCTCAGTTCTCTATGTATTTGAGAAATGAGGCCTTAATCAGAGAAACTTACTTTAAATTTTTTTCCCTTTCCTTTTAATTTTGGCTGTACTGGTTTTGTTTGTGCAAAACCTTTTTTGATTTCATATGATCAAAATTATCTACTTTACTTCCTTTTTATCTCTTATTTGGTCATAAACTCTTCCATTATAGGCAATTTTTCCACGCTCTCCTAATTTACTTACAAAGTAGTAATCACCAGAACAATCTGGTACTGGCTAATAAATAGACTGGTGGATCAATGAAATAAGTTAGGTACTCAATACACAATAGTAAATGACCATAGTAATCTTGTGTTTGATAAACCCAAAGATCCAAGTTCTAAGGGCAAGAACTCAACATTTGACAAAAATTACTAGGAAAACTGGAAAGCAATTTCACAGAAATGAGGCAAAGACCAACATCTCACACTGTATATAAGATAAGGTCAAAAGGGGTACATGATTTAGACATAAAGGGTGATATCAGTGACATCATAAGCTCTAGGTCAGTGGAGTCAAACTCAGAAATAGGAGCCACTAGACTGTATATAAGGATTCCTGTGGCTGTATGTTGACTTAGAAAACCACATTTTAACATTGTGTTTTATTGTATTTTTATTTATTTTGTTAAATATTTCCCTATTACATTTTAATCTGGTTGGGGTGCACTTGAGAATGTTGTGGCCAGTAGACTGTATGTTTGACTCCTTTGTTCTAGGTAGCTCTAAGATTGTAGATTGCAGAGAAGGTGTCAACATGCACTGGTAGAAAGAGTTTCCTCACCTGGGAATTCCCTGTACTAATAATAGGGTCACAAGTCCTGTCCTTATCCCTGTCATTTTTTTTATAAATGAAGCCCATATCTCATATTCATTTAATGCAGTAGGGACAGAAATAGGAAATTGTGTTGCGATATTTTTTTATTCAGGAAAAGTGTTTTTTATTGGGTCTTGACAGAAAGAAATATTTCTTTATTACCATAGATCTGAAGGTTTTTAGAACACTAAAAAACAATCCAACTTAATCCAGGGACTTTTAATTCATGTTAAGATACTCAGATTGCCATAAAACATTATTGGGTGGATATCTATCACTTTTAAAATTAAAATTTCCTTTTTATTATTGTGAATGTGATAAAAATCAATGAACATGAACTCTTTTCTGATACAAAGAACAGAAAAAGAGTATGTGAAATCATTAATGCCACTAGATGCATTTTGAATTTTTTAAAATACATTTCCAATTTTTTGAGTTACGTCATAGAACATTTATTAACAAGGTTTCCTCCCAAACTATTTCTTTGAGGAAAATCAGTAGGATATTCAGTTTTTGTAGATAGGAAAATTGAGCTATGAACCAATTAAATGATTTGCCTGGAACTACCCAGTCAGGGAAGAACAAAATTAGAATGCAATTTCCCTGAATCCCAGCTCATAACAAGATTAGGGGTCTGCTCTTTCAATATTTCCTTTCAATTTCAGAATTTTGTGAGCCTTCTTCCCTGAATCTCAACCTGCTTTTTCTCTTCTTCACTTTTCAGAATGCTAACAAACATATCTCTCAGGCAGAAGTGGTCATTCGGTTTGCATTTCAGACATCCATCACGGTATTGTGTATTGCCTGTCCTTGCTCTCTGGGCTTGGCTACACCCACAGCAGTAATGGTTGGAACAGGGGTGGCTGCCCAAAATGGGATTCTCATCAAAGGAGGAAAGCCCCTCGAAATGGCACACAGGGTACGTGTGCTCACTGCCCCCTCGCCTTGCCTCGCCAAGGGTTTAAAGAAAACTGGATTTGGATTTAGGGCTTCTTCCTTGAGGGAGACAAGAATTGGACTCTCTGAGGAGGAAGCAGCTGTTTGCACTCCCCAGAAACGATGATGTATATCCTCAGGTATTGTCAGGATAAAGCTCGTCCATCGTAATATCATAATGTGACATTGAGACAGCCAAGCTGCTCAATTCAGGTACACGTACAGGTTGGGCAAGATGGCGGGATGGCCTCTGAAGTCCCTTCTAGCTCTGAAGTTGTGAAATCGATTTTAGAATGACCGCCTATTGCCTTTCACTGAGACCGAAGCCACCACTGCAACACTATTGATAGTTCCATGGTAGCGTGATCCGGGCAAGACCACAAAGCAACAAATACTCTTGAATATTTAAACTCTCCCCTTTCGTCAGACACCCCATCCCTGTCCTCATTCTCATCCTTGCAATCCTGGGCTTCTAAATCCAATATTAGGCAGCCTTAGCCCCTGTGTTATCGTACAAAGGGAAGCTAATAACCAGTCTTTGTTTCTACTCTAACAATTTTAAGTAGCATCACAAAATGCTCAGCTCTCTGCATCGAGGCATTCGTATGCCCCTAGTTAAGGTTTGAACATTACTCTGCCTCTTGTGTGTTACTGGGAGCTTCTGAAACCCATAACTTGGCTTACCACAAAATGAAAATATGCTCTTAAGAAACAGAATTTTCTGGTGTCAGAATTATGTTTATGTACAAAAGTTGATACATGAGTGTTCCTCAAGGCTTTACCTGTATATTGTTTTCTAGGCAACCTTGCCTATGTTTCAATCCTGGCTTTGGTAGGAAGACATAGGAATAAATTTCTAGTAGTAAGATTTGGTTTTAGAGGGAGATGTAAAATCTTTTTCTTTGTGGGTCTTTTTAAATGGCATTTGTCGGAGATGACTTAGGTATTGCTGGTTCTACCAGGAGACAGGAGACTGCTTGACATGTCCTCTGAATGCCTCTTCTGACCCTTGGATTCTGGCAGTGGAACATAGGATCACATACAATTGGCTGTAGGTTTGGAACTAATTGGAAAGGCGCTAGTCCAACCCCCTCATTTTATAGATTGAGACCTAGAAGAGTTACACAACTCACTGAAGGATCACACAGATAGCAAGAGGCAGAGGCAGGGCTTAATCCTGGGGCTCTGATTCCAAATTAGCACTCACTCACACTTACACTCACCACTCACAGTTAGCATCATTCCAATGCTGTTTTATTTCTGACAGATCAAGACGGTGATGTTTGACAAAACTGGAACCATCACCTATGGTGTCCCCAAAGTCATGAGAGTTCTTCTGCTGGTTGACATGGTGTCCCTACCACTGAGGAAAGTTCTGGCTGTGGTTGGCACTGCTGAAGCTAGCAGTGAGCATCCCCTGGGTGTGGCTGTCACTAAGTACTGTAAAGAGGTAGGTACTCAGGTTATGAAACATCCCAGCCCCTGTCCTCTTCTTTCATCCTCAGTGCCTTGGTAGGTGAGGCCTCCTGGAACCTTTATTACACGTCTGTTGCATTATATAACCATGTGCAGTGATCATTTGATTCCACCACAGAGCTGAAGAGTTCCTGGCTAGTCTGTGAACAGGAATTTTTTGTGTGGATTGAACCTGTAATTTCATTAATAGACAGATTTAATTCTACCAATACAGATGAGCACCTGTTCTGTAACGTGAAGTCTCAGAGAGTTTCCCGGAGCACCAAGAGTTTAAATCACTTTCCTGGGGTCACATAGCCAGGATGCATCTGAGTTAGAACTTGAACCTAGCTCTTCTTGACTTCAAAGTCAATATTCTTTCTGTCCACTATACAACACCACCGCCTTCCTAGCAGGGATATGCCTTGTAAGTGGGAGGTGCCTCATGCCCACCAGAGAGTGTATCGCCAATTTTCACAAAGATAATAGAGAAAACCCTATAAAATTCAGCTAAATGTCAAAGGTGTTTTTGGCAAATAAGAATTAGAATGTTTGTCCAAGATTTTCAGCCTTGGCATTGATTCAACCACATATATTTCTTTGGCTGGGAGGCCCTATTGATTTTTTTTTCTCTCTGACCTCTTAAACGTGATGGTAAAGGTAGTAGATCCTCCTGAAGACATTGGCCAGAAACAGTTAGAACAGCCTGAATGATATGATCAGTAAACACTGAAAATTAACATGGGCAATTTAACAGGAAACACTTTAAAAACTTACTTGTGTAGAAACTCATTCATTCAGAAACCTAATTTAGATTATATTTTTTAGGTAAGGTTGATCAATATTTGACATTATTCTCTATCCATCACTTTCTTCCACCTGACTGTTTCTTTTTTCTCCATCTCAACCTTCTTTCACAGGAACTTGGAACTGAAACCCTAGGGTACTGCACGGACTTCCAAGCTGTCCCTGGGTGTGGAATTGGCTGTAAAGTCAGCAATGTTGAAGCCATCGTGGCCCAGAGCAAACACCCTCTAAATGAACAGAATAGTCATCTGAATGGTGTTGGCACCCTTCCTGCTGAAAAAGGTTTCATTGATCATTGTCTTTGGCTCTGGGGAAACATCCATAGTCAGTACTTGATTGGGTTAAAGTGGAATTCTGCCAAACCACAGAGGCAACCTTGCCAAGTATTTCTCTTGTGATTTCCTCCTTAGCCTGGAAAAAGGTGTGCATATGGGAGGATGTGATACATAGCCAAGTCACATACAAAAAAGCCTTTTCTAATCCATACAATGTTCAATGGTAATGGGAGATAAGGGTATTATACTTTTCTTTGGTACTTCTGGAGAATGGTAATTTCATAATTGCATACACTCCCTCTCCTAATGTGTATGGAAATCCTTCCATGGCTTAGAGAGATAGCCTGGTACAGTGGAGAAAGGTCTATCTGTGGAGTCAAGGACCTGGGTTCAGATATTGCCTCTGGTACTTCCTGCCTGTGTGATGTTAAGTAAATCTTTAATTCTCCCTGGGCCTCAGTTTTTTCATCTGTAAAATGAGGGAATTAGACTCTGGCCATTGATATATTCTAGCTTTAGATCTGTGATGTTATTATCATATAACTGTTCCACAAAGGACAGCCCTAACATGTTAGAGACTTAGTACCTCTGTGATAGAAACCCAGGGGAACCACTCTATCTGTTTCTCTTTTGCCTTTCATTCCTGATACATACGTGATACATACCCAACTTTATCCATGTCTTTTATGCTACTTCTCACACACAAATAACATGATTCAGCCTGCTTATACTAATAAATATATAATGTATACTAATAAATCTATCTATATCTGTATTTATGGGTATATATGTGTGTGTGTGTGTGTGTGTGTGTGTGTGTGTGTGTGTGTGTGTGTGTTTCATATGTATCTATCTATATGTAGGCAGCTAGGTGGTGGGGTGGATAGAGTGCTAGGCCTGGAACCAGGAAGACTCATCTTTGTGAATTTGAATCTGGCCTCAGACACTTACTAGCTGTATGTCCCTGGCCAAGTCACTTAACCCTATTTACCACAGTTTCCTTATCTGTCAAATGATATGGAGAAGGAAATGGCAAGCCACTTCAGTATCTTTTCCAAGAAAACCCCAAATGGAGTCACAAAGAGTTGGACAGGACTGAAAAAACAATCGAACAACAAAGTATGTCTGTAGATATAGATGTATATGTCTATAGAGATAGAGATAGCTTGATTGGAGGATCATAAGATGGCTTGAGTTTTATTGGTACCTTTTGTTTTTTACACCACAACCATTTCCTATTATATACTTTTTACTCCTCACCATTGAACTCTCTCCATTGTAACAAAGAAACAGAGTTAAGAAAAATAGACCAACAGAAATGACCTCCTCTGAAAGTGTGTACTGCATCCCACAACTGTCATTCCCAGATCCTCCATTCAGAGGAGGAAAGCTATTCCAGATCAAGACCGTTCACTGTATCATGCATCTTTTTATTGCCTGTTGAGTTGTTCTGCCATTTTAATTCTAATGACTCTGTGGAATGCTGGGCTTCACAGACACATGGCTTTGGTGGGACAATACTGGTACTAAAGATCTCAATACTAATGATAGCACATATTGGTGAAATTCACAGATAATCCCCTCAGCTCACCCTCATTTGTGCCATTACATTTATTTTTTAAAATTTTATAAATATTATTTTTTCCAAATTACGTGTCAAGACAATTTTTAACACTCATTTTTACAAAATTTGAGTTCCAAATTTTTTTCCCTCCCTCCTCTCTTCCTAAAATGGTTGATATAGTTTATACATGTGCTATCATGTAAAACACATTTCCATGTTAATCACAGTTGTGAAAGAAGAAACAGATCCAAAGAAAAAAAAAACACAAAAAAAGAATAAGTGAAAAAAGGATACTTCAGAGCATTCAGAGCCTGTCAGTTCTTTATCTGGATGTGGATAGCATTTTCCTTCATGAGTCCTTTATACTTGTCCTGGATCATTGTGTTGCCGAGAAGAGCTGAGTCATTCATAGTTGATCACCACACAATGTTGCTGCTACTGTGCACAATGTTTTCCTGATTCTGCTCATTTCTCTTTGTAATAGTTAGTATAAGTCTTTCCAGGTTTTTCTGAAATAAGCCGGCTCATCAATTCTTATTACACAGTAGTATTCTCTTAAATTCGTAAACCACAGCTTGTTCAGCCATTCTCCAATTGATGGGCATCCCTTCAATTTTCAATATTTTTCCACTATGAAAAGGGCTGTTGTAAATATTTTTGCACATGTAGGTTCTTTCCCCCTTTTTATCTCTTTGGGACACAGTCTGTCATTACATTTAACATCCACTTTGCTTAATTACATTGAAGTTTTTACCTCTTTTCCTTCCTATTTTTCTCTCTCTGATGAAGGTGAAGTAAAATGTTAAGAGACAGGCAGATAAAGTCAAAAGAAGCCCACAAGGTTTAGATAGTTCATACTAGGGCTAGTGTGGTATAATAGGAAGAATATTGGGTTTGTTAATCATAGGACCAGAGTTTGAATCTTGGCTCTATTAATTAGTAATTATGTGATCCTGGACAAGTCACTTCACTTGGTTAGACTTCTCTTTACTCATCTGTAAAATTAGATGGTTGGACTATATTGATTTGTCCTGACACATCGAGGGTGACCTACTAATGGAACACAATCTATGGAGCAGTTCCTTTCATTTTCGTGGTATGAACATCTCATCTACTTTTTACCTCGCAAGAATCCATCCAAAATCTTGAGCCTTCCTCACCTTTTCCTGACATTCTGAGAGTACCACTCTGTCTGTCATTTATCCCTCGTTCCCTCAATGAGACCAGCTCACCATCTTTTTAGCATACATTTATTTGGTTACATCGTTTGCCCTGCTTCTCCTATTTCATTCCTTGTTTTGGAATGGGTTATGGCCTGATTGAGCCCACCGGGTCTTCTATTGCCTTTTGGGTGGTCTTTAACTTCACTTCTTCAGAACCAATAGTGTACTGTGAATCATAGCTATACAACATTATTTGAAGAATGATGTCTTAAAAAGATGTGCCTTTGTTTCAGGAGAAAGCTTGGGGTCATTCAAAGAGCCAGCTGCTCTTCTCCTGTTCAACTTTACAGGCAAATCATTGACCATTCATAGTGTGTTTCTGGGCTGCATATACTGGTAGATGAGCCTATAAGTTGTCTGTCAAACTGCATAGCATCGTGTGAACAAAAGACATTTTCCATTCACAGTTTTTCATGTATTGATAAGTCAAATGTCCTTGATGGTGAAAAAAGTTTGTTATAGAAATCCTTGCTCATATTTCCAAATTTTGGCTCTCTGTTGTCCTCTTTCCAGTTTTATCCATTAAAGCATTTAGGATGACTTTTCTTAGTTGGGTTTCTTGCTAAGTTTTTTTTTTTATTAGTGTTTTTCCTTTACTGCTTAATGCCATTTTATGAAGCAATACTGCTCATAATCTCCTACTATCCTTCTTTGTAAGATGTTATAAAATGAGAGTCTATCATGAATACTGTACCTTCTTTGAGAATCAGAAAACATTGAAAAATGCAAGCCTTCAAAACAAAATCATAAAAAACAAAATTGATTATATTTTAACAGACAAGAAATTACTTTTTTTTGGAGAATCTTCTGACTCAGCTATCTTGGTGCAGTCAGTTAACCAACCTTTACAGTAAAAGTAAAGATTAACATAAAACTAGAAGAAAGAATAAAATTAGACAAAGAGATGTATGTGCAATTAAAATAACTCCCAGTTCTTGGTGTTGGGAAAAAAAAAAGAAAGTTGATAGAAGACAGGATGTTAATACTGATTCAGTTGAACAACAAACATTTATTAAACACCGTATAGGCCAGGCTCTATTCTAGGAACTGGGGAACAAGTATAAAGAATGAAAAATCTTTATTCTCGAAGAGCTTACATTCTAATGGAGAAAACCGTTAAGTGCACTTATAAATATATACAGAATAGAGGATCAATACAAAGTAGTTAAATACAAGGCAATTTGAGAGAAAGGAAGCTAGGATTTGGGGGATCAGGGAAAGCTTCATGGAGAAGGTAGGGCTGGAGAGTAATCTGTTAGTTGAAGTTAAAAAGGGGAGTTTATTCCAGACATGCGGAAGAGGCAATGGGAAATGCAGTGCTGTGTGTGATGACCAGAGAGAAGGCCTGTTTGGCTATATTCTAACAATTTGGTTTGGAAGTTTAACCAAGTCAGTTGCTATAACAAGTCAGTTGCTATAACAAGAAGGCCCAAAGAGCCTAAAAATTACCTAAGCAAATCTTTGAACTCTTTGATAGACTGACAGCTATGGCCACCAAAGGCAACATCAGTATAGAATATAAACACATTTGTAAAATCTTGTGGAGAGAGATGGTGGATGATTTGATTATCACTTCATAAAACTGAGAAGCAATGAAGGGAAAAACATTTTTTAAAAGTTTAGGGAGAGACCTAACTAAGCAAAGTCAGTCTAGGGACATTAATAATAAAAACAAAAGGATGGCAAGAGATAAAAACCATAAACTATCTGTTATTTTTTTTCTTTATCAAACTCTTTTTACCATTAAGGACATTGTAGCCATCATATTGGGACAGTCCTGGATGTGCTTCTAGAAGTTGTGGCACTGAAGAGAACGAGGATGGGAAAAGTAACTGGGCTTGATTTAATATACATAGAAGAGATCTGTATTTAAGATGACATAATTTTGAGGACATTGAGGGATCAATTCAATAGGTGTCTAAAGGAGAGTAGAAGCTGTGTGACCTTGAGCAAGTCACTTAACCCCAATTGCCTCACCAAAAAAAATAAAATAAAATAAAATAAAGGAGAGTAGAAATCAAAAGTGTAGAAAAATTCCGAACATTATTACAAAAAAAAACTCCCATAAAAACAAAACATATGAGAATATTAATGAATACCAACTTTTTCTCTCCTTTGCCATATGCAAAACTTACATAATAGTAAGCCACAAATATGTTGAGATAAATATTAATAATAATAGATAGCATTTATATAAAGTTTTAAGGTTTGCAAAGAGCTATACAAATATTTTATCCTCACAACAACCCTGTGAGATAGGTGCTATTATCATCTCCCATTTTACAGATGAGGAAACTGATGAAGACAGAGGTTAAATGTCGTGCCCAGGGTCCCACAGCTAGTGGTGTCTGAGGCCAGATTTCAGTTTGGGTCTTCCTGACTCCAAGTCCAGAGTAGAGCATTTATTAAATGCATACTTTGTGCCAGACATTGTGTAAAGCAGTGGGGATTAAAAGGGAACAGACTTTTTCATAAATGGTATTCCACAAAAGCCAGTGTCTTTACCATTCCACAGTTACCTAAAAGGTATAAAGAGTACAAAATCCCATTGTGCTTTTTGTTCTCTGATTATAAAAAAGTATTGGAAACATCATATTAAAGTCTCTCTTCCAACAAGGTGCCTCCCATATATATGTCAAAGTTATGAAAGTGCTTAAAAAAACTAGATAAAACAGATTACTTGTTCAGTGAAGTTCTGATTATGAATAGCTAGAAAAACATAAAACAGGGAGATGTATACTCACCAACGTTGTTTGCCTCCGTTATATAATAGAGTCCATGTTGAAAACGAATCCCTCATAAATGGTCAGATACTTGAGATTTTCCTATTTGTGGATAGCATTATGCCAGGCATACCAAGCCCTAGAACATTGTAGATCCTCCTAAATAACATCATTTCTCAGAAGAGTTTGGCCCAACTATCCACCCGGGAAAACCTTTGTAGGTGAAGAATGCTGTTGTCCAAATTATTATTATACAGTTGGATGGGCAACTCTTAGAGCTTGTTTATTAGTATGGAGATTTGGGAGAGGTACTATAGATGAACAGTGAGCTGGACCCAAAATTGAAAATTGCCTTTGGGAAATTACAGACTTCTTTTTGATAATTGTAAGCTTCTCCCTGAAACAAAAGCTCATCTTTTAAAGACCAGGATTCTTCCAGTGATGTATAAGAATGATGATGGTGGTGGTGGTGGTGGTGGTGGTGATGATGATGATGATGATGATGATAATGATGGCTACCATTTATATAGCACCTACTATGTGCCAGGCACTGTGCTAAGTGTGTCATAATAAGTATGGCAGTGATTCATGGAATACTATACAGTCTCTGAAAATTTGAAGTTAAGGGCAATCCAAAGGATAACAGAGAAATGCATTTTAGATGTGAATTGGTTGCAACACATTATAAACAAAGAATTATATAAGAGAAATCATGTAAAGCAGAGGTGTCAAATGGAGGCCACAATGTGGCAACACTCCCCAGTGTGACCAGAACCAGATTAGAACGTAATTAGGAAATATTTAACAAAATAAATAAAAATACAATAGTAAATAGATAATGTTAATATGTGGTTTTTGAAGTCAATGTACAGCCTGTAGAAATCCTTATGTGTGGTTTAGTGGCCCCATTTCTATTGGCTACTGATGTAAGGGATGTCAGCAGAGAAATATATAACTGAAAAAAATGATGTGCTTGTCATCTGACGAGAGCAAGTGGCAACTGATAGACAAGACAGCATGAATGCTCCATTGGATCTTTGGGATGTCAAGACAACTTGAAGATCATCAGCACGTTGGGTGGACACTTAGTGATAAATTTATTGTAAGCTGTGAACAAGTGTTGCATGTGATGGGCAGACATGAATGGGTTGCAATCTGTACCATTGGGGAAAATCCCTACTTTGATGAGATCATAGGTCCATTGGAATATTAGAATTATATTGAATACTTCTTTCCAGATCCACGTATAGTGCCAATGCTGATATCCTGTTAAAGTGGCTTTTCAAAGTAAAGTAGTAATTCAGCTACTTTGTAAGTCACTGTCATTGCTTATGGAATTTCATTGTGCCCAGTGGAAGCCATCTTCCTAATCCTGTTTTAAGTGACAGTTGTAATGTAATTAAATTCAACAGACATTTATTAAATACAAATTATCCAAATCTAGCAACAGATGATAGCTTATGCCTCTTAACTGGTGTCATACCACCACTGATCATGAGAAAGTTGGCAACTGAAGACTGAAGGCTCAGGTATCTCTGATTTGAATACATGGAAATAACCAAGTACCCTAAATCCATGACAGTTTTATGCCCACAGTGGATGTGACAGAAGATTGGAGTTATGATATTAATCATTATATACAACTATATACTCTCTAGAAAAAATGGAGCTACAGGTTGACCTTTCTAGGGGAGCTAATAGAAATGGTCCTAAATAATAGCTAAAATGGCTGCCCTTAAAAATTGGTACTTCAGAGACTGGCATGATGAATTCAGCTAAACTCAACAAGCATTTGCTAAGGTACCTACTATATGCAAGATGCTATGCTATGTACTGGGGATCTGGAGATTTAAAAATTGGGGTTACTCCAATAGAATGAAGTTATTCAGGTACCAGTAAAGAATGACCATAGAGTATATGATGGCTTACTGATTCCTTAGGGGAAACTTGTATCAAGATGGACTATGTTATAGTATTGGAAAGGATTATTGTGTTTGGTACTAAGAAAGTCACTAGATATGGTATTAGTAGGGATACTTAACTTGGAGTCTGTGAACTTGTTTTATTACAACAAATTTTTGACAACTGTATTTCAATATGTTTAGTTCCTTTATAATCTCATGTACTTTATTTTATGCATTTAAAGATATTATTCTGAGAAAGGGGTTCATAAATTTCACCAGACTGCCAGAGGGGTCCATGACATAAACAATGGTAAGAAGCTCTGCAATGAAAGAACCAGCCATCTTTGCTAGAGGCAGACAAAAGATATTATAGTGATCATAGCTAGCATTTATATAGCACTTTAATGTTTACAGAGTGTTTCATACCTCATTTGATCCCTTCAACGACCTTGTGAAGGAGGTGCTGTTATTTTCCTCATTTTACAGATAAGGAAACTGAGACTGACAAAGTCTTAGTGACTTGTCACACAGCTAGTCAGTGTCTGAGATAAAATTTGAACTATGAAGTGTTACAGGAAATAATTAGTAAACATTTATTAAGTGCCCACAGTGTGCCAGGCATTGTGCTAAGCTAAGCACTGGGCATATGAAATAAGGCTACAGACGGTTGTTGCCCTGTTAGAATCTTTACATGAATGTACCACATATTGTCAGAAGTCTCGGCCTTGTGCATACCTGTGATGTGTATATTTTACACAGTATATTTTCCTTTCTACCCTTTCTATAAGCAATATTATTGTGGGGTCATAGGGGGGATAGAAATTATGTCTACCTCTTTTCCAGGATAGCTAAATGTAGGGATTTTGTATTCTAGCTTGTTTTTAACCCTCTCTGGCAATACAGACTAGGCTTTGCTTGTATCTAATGGCCCAACATACATTCTATTGGACAGGTGCAGCAGCACCCCAGACCTACTCTGTGCTGATTGGGAACCGGGAATGGATGCGACGAAATGGTTTAACTATATCTGCTGATGTCAGTGATGCCATGACAAGCCACGAAATGAAGGGGCAGACCGCCATATTGGTGGCTATTGATGGTAAGTCATTTCCTCAGTCCACTTTGCGGTGTAGTGTCTATTACTTGTGTGTGCTGTGTTTTCTGAGTCAGACTTACTAATTTATTCTTTCCCATCCCTGCTACCAAAATTACCCCCGACTGATCTTGGCAATTGCCCTTCTCCCAAGGTGACAGCTATATGTTTTGGTTGTTAGGAATCTGTTTATATTCACAACAGCATGAAGATTTAGCCCAGCACATTTCACACATTGTTTTTAAAAAGCATTAGTGCCAAAAGTCTATCCTTATTTTAAACTTATGTTTTACTTAATTTTCATTTTAACTAGCATTTATTTTCTCTTCCCTGGTCTTCCCACCAATTGAAAAACAAACAAAAAATGCTTGTAACAAATATACATAATTGAGCAAAACAGATGACCACATTGACCATGTCCAAAAGTTTATCGCTTTCTACATCCTGAATCTATCACCTCTCTCTTATGAGGTAGATGACATGCTTCAACAAAGTTCCCCAGAATCAAGATTGTCACTGCATTGATCAGAATTCTTAAGTCTTTAAAGCTTGCCTGTCTTTACAGCATTGCAGTAGCAGTATATGTGGTTCTCTTAGTTCTGTCCACTTTAATCTGCATCAGTTCAGTCTTCCCAGGTTTCTCTTAAATTGTACATTTTATATTTCTTATTATGCAATAATATTCCACTACATTCATATAGCATAATTTCTTCAACTATTGCCCAATTAATGGTCATCCTTTTGGTTTTCAGTTTTTACTACTACAAAAAGAGCTTCTATAAAAATTTATGTACATGTAGGTACTTTTCCTGATTTCCTTTTTTAATCTCTTTGGAGTCTATTAGTAATATTACTTGGTCAAAGAGTATATACAGTTTAGTGACTTTTTGAACATAATTTTAAGTTACTTTCATAAATCACCAAACTAATTCATACTTCCACCTGTTTTCTTTCAGTCTCTCCAGCATTTTTTTTTTGTCATCTTTGACAATTTGATGGCAAACCTTAGAGTTGCTTTGATTTTCATTTCTCTATTTATGATTTGGAGCACTTTTTCATATAGCTATTGATAGCTTGGATATTTTATCCTTTGAACATTGCCTATTTGTATCCTTTGACTACCTATCAGTTGGGGGCTCTTGTTTTTATAAGTTTGAATCAATTCCTCGTGCATGTCAAAAATGAGATCTTTATAAAAGAAACTTGACTGCAAAGATTTTTTTCCTAGGTAACTATTTCACTTCTAGTTTTGACGGCATTGTTTTTGTCTGTGCAATTTTAAAAAAAATTTCATGTAATCAGAATTGTAAGTTTTATCTTCTGTGATCCTCTCTATCCTTTACTTGGTTATAAACACTTCCTCTATCTATAGTTGTAAATAGTAATTCTTTCCTTGCTCCTCTGATTTGTTTTTTTATGTGATCTTTTATGTCTGTCATATATCCATTTGAAATTTATCTTGGCATACAGTGTGAGGTATTGGTCTACTCCAAAATTGGTTTCTGCCAGACTGATTTCGAGTTTTGTCAGTAGTTTATGACAAATAGTGAAATAGCAACTTCTTCCTCCATTAGTGTTTATCACACCCCTTGCCACAATATTTGTTTGCTTCTGTGTTGTGTTCCTAGTCTATTCTACTATTTGACCTTTCCATTTTTTAAGTAGTGCCAAATAATTTTATGTATTACTTCTCTGTAGCGTAGTTTAAGATGTGATATTGCTAGATCTCTTTCCTTTCCATTTTTTAAAAAATGATTTTTCATGAGACTTCTGTTAGGTGAATTTACTTATTGTTTTTTCCAACTCTATAAAGTAATCCTTTGGTAGTTTGATTGGTATGGCACTGAATAGTTAAATTAATTTAGGTAGTGATGTCATTTTTATTATATTGGATCTGTCTATCCATGATCAATTAATATTTCTCCAATTATTTAGGTCTATCTCCATAAAGTGTTTTTTAAGTTGAAGTCATATAGTTACTGTGTGTTTCTTGATAATAGACTCCTATGTATTTTATACATTTTGTAGTTATTTTAAATGGAATCTCTCTTTCTATCTCTCCTCCTGGATGCTGTTGGTAAAATACAGAGATACTGATGATTTAAGTGAATTTTTACATACTTTAAATTTACTGGAATTGTTTTAATTAATTTTAGTTGTCTCTATGATTCTTATATCAACTATAAAACTATCCTTTTGTTTCCTCTTTCCTATATTCCCTCAGTTTCTTTTTCTTGTTTTCTTGTTATAGGTTGTATTTTTTTAAAACTTTATTTTTAAAAATGGACATCCTTGCTTTACTCATGTTCTTATTGGAAAGGTCTCTAGATTATCCCCATTGTGTATAATGCTAGCTCTTGGTTTTAGATAGATAGTACTTCCCATTTATTCCTATGCTTTTTAGAGTTTTTAGCAGAAATGAGCATTTTATCAAAAGCTTTTTCTGCATCTCCTGATTTTGTTGTTCCTGTTTTTAATATAGTCTAATTTGTTTATAGTTTTCTCAGTATTCAACCAGCTCTGCATTCCCGGCAGAGATGTTATAAGGCTCAAATGAGATAATGTATATGAAGTACTCTGCAAACTTTAAAGCATCTGTGACTTTATAATACGTCTTTGCCATTGGTTGGCAGCATTGGTTGACCTTTTTTGTTGTTTACATTTTCTTCCAGCTTCATTTCTCACACTGAGACTTGGTGTTAGGGCCAGGTTCTATGTACTTTCAGAGGTAATTTGGAGGGCTTTGTAAGAGTCTGAGCTGTGTTACAGGAGTCTTGCAGCTGCTTTCATTAGATTTTGAGTGCTATGTCCTTTAAAGATTTTAGGGCTGCTTGAGCCAGGTAGCTGCATACTTTAAATGAGAAAAATTCAGGAGTGCAGCTCACACTAGCTTGTGATAAACAATTGTTAAATTTTCAGTGTAATCATTTATACCTTGGAAATCAGCAGACGCTACAAATCTGGGCTTGATTTATTGTTCTGTTGATTGTCTAAGCTTAAGAAAGTAATGGAGAAAATATTAAGAATGCAGATTAAAATTAAAAGTATGTTGTAGGGGCAGCTAGGTGGCGCAGTGGATAGAGCACCGGCCCTGGAGTCAGGAGGACCTGAGTTCAAATCTGGCCTCAGACACATAACACTCACTAGCTGTGTGACTCTGGGCAAGTCATTTAACCCCAACTGCCTCACCAAAAAAAAAAAAAAAAGTATGTTGTACATACATTCCCACTCCTGCCCCGAGCCAGTTGTTAAATATTTACTATTATACCCCTGGCCAGAGCTATCATTTTAATTTAGTTTAGTGCCCTCCTTACTGATTTTTCAAAGGTGCATTTTTGTGCATTTGGCAAAATGGGGCATTTCACTGTATACCTCCTTCCACCTCTCTGCCTCTTCTCATCATAGCATTAGTAATAGTATTATATAGTATTCTATAGTATTATACTATAGTATTACTATAGTATTAGTAACTACTCTTTGGGTTGGGTCATTTAGCTAATTCTGAATAGTACTATTGTGTACTATTGGCTAGCTCATATCTCCGTTTCATCCACAAGCATAGCATGAAAGAGACTTAGTCAAATATTTTGCTAAAATATAGTTATGTTATAAATATAAATATAGTTAAACTATATCTACAATATTTTTCTGTTCTGTAGGACTAACTTCATTTCCTTCCTTTCATCTTTTATTGACATAGTCAAATTTCTGTTTGAGACATCGGTCATCCTATTTTTAGACCTCTGATTCCTACTCTTTTTCCTTCATCTAATCATTCCCAGCTAAATTGGCGCCATATTATAATCATAGCCTGTCTTCTTTTAGGCTAAAATTGCTTCAAAAGGGCCCAATATATGAAGCCTTAGATTTACAAAGTAAAAATCTTTTGCTTCTAAAAGATGTTCATTGCAAAAATCCTTTAAATAGTAAGCTCCCCTAGGACATTTGATGATTCCATTTACAAAAATTGATTTCAGGAACATGTGTATTTTATAAAGTAGGTTATACCTTGTACCTAAAATTTAACAGATAAATTATAACTTATCTTTTTTTTTCTTTCAAAGCCTTAAGAAAGAGATTCTTTCTATTTCTCATTGCCATCTCTTCTTTTCCCCTTTTTTCATAGCTTCCTTCCAGAACCACCTTGTCAGAATTCTGTTGAGTTTCTTCCTCTTAAAACTATCAGTTTCCTTTTCTATGTGTCTTACATTTAACTTTTGGCCTATATTAATCTATATTCATTCCTTTTACTCATCCCATTTTCCTTTGGCTTTGGCCAAATAAGTTTTTTTCTCATTTCCTGTGTTGTTCTTTCCCCCTTGCTTCAATGCCATTTCTTCTTTCAAGTTATCTTCCTTTCCAGTTGGTTAAACCGTTGTTGTTCATGATCCATGTCATTAGAGAAGTCTTGCTCCCTGCATCTCTTCCCTACCCTCAATCACCAATTCAGTCCTCCCATTTATATGCCCCAATTTTTCATTAATCAATCAATCAACAGGCATCTATTAAATACTTTCTGTATGAGCTAGGTACTGGGCAAAGAGCTAGAGATACGAAGAAAAAACAAAATTAGCCCTTTCCCTCTATGAGCTCACATTTTATAAATCAGACCTTGAAAGATAAACACAGAGTAGATGACAGGCAACCTTAGAATGGATGGCACCAGCAATCAGAGTGGGTGGAGGAGGTGATCAGGAAATGCCTGCTGGAGAAGATGATGCTTGAACTGAGTCTTAAAGGGAGCCTTGAATTGGAAAACCATGCTAGGAATGTATAAATGTGTAAGCTGGTGCATGGGGAGCGAGAAATGTTCCATGCCTGGAATGCGCTCTCTCCTCTTCTCCCTCTACTGACTTCCTTCACTTCAAGTCCCAACTAAAATTCCATCTTTTACAGGAAGCCTTTCCCAAGCCCTTTTAATTCTAGGGTCTTTTCTCTGTTAATGATTTTCTGCTTATCTTGTATATAGCCTGTTTGCATATGTTTGTTTACATGTTTTCTTCCACATTAGATTATAAGCTCCTTGACAGCAGGGATTGTTTGGTTTTTTTTCCTTTTTCATTTCCCCAGTGCTTAGCACAATGCCTGGCACGTAGTAGGTACTTAATTAGTGTTTACTGATTGATTGATTGAAGCTTGTTGCTTTTTTATGATAGAAGAAAATTATCTTTGGCTAGAGAAGAGAGCCCACTATAGCCTGGCTGCTGTGGGCAATATTATTGGCCAAACCTGAATCAGAGGGTTACTCACACATGCTAGCTACCATTTTCATTTACAGAAAATCCACTCTGGGAAAATACAAGATGCTCCTGGGAGTTAAGATTATTAAAAACCAAACAGCTCTTTGAAAGCTATTAAAGCTTAAAACAACACTAAAACTTTGGGGACACCTGTATATTCTTTGGGAAGTGACAAGAGAGAATGAGCTAACAAGCCCCACTTTTTTTCCTCCTCTGGTTTGTTTTGCTTCGCTTTCTGTGGTTATTTAACAGAGATTATTTTCTTCCCAGGTGTGCTCTGTGGGATGGTGGCCATAGCAGATTCTGTCAAGCAGGAGGCAGCGCTGGCTGTCCATACCCTCAAAAGTATGGGTGTGGATGTGGTTCTGATAACAGGGGACAACAGGAAAACCGCAAAAGCCATCGCCACGCAGGTCTGCTTACGGCTGTGCTTGGTTTGTTGGTTGTATGTGTTCTCCTTGGGAGTCTGTTAATGATTTCTGTGGCCGGCTCCCTTTGGCCCCTCATTTCACAGTATCCTAGGGTTCAGAGTCCCTGGGGACCTTAGAGATCAGGTAGGCCACCGCCTTGTGAGGAAACTTAAGTAATTGGGTGGCATGTATTGTTATCTTCATTTTTACCACAGACACAGATAGTAAATGTCCCACGTCTGCTGACTCGAAAGCTGGGATGCCTTCTAGGCCTCTCATGACTCTCATGTTCTATGTTGGTCTTCATCACTGAAACAGCCAACCTGACCTCGGAGTGAAAAACAACTCCATATGTTTCCTTATTTGCTGGAAAAAAAAAAAGATAACATATCAAAGGAAGATACTTTTCTGGCTCAGCACCTTTGCTTGAATCCCTACCCACTTAGTACAGAATTTGAGCTTTTTCTGAGTGGTAAATCAAGGGAACAAGACCCCTGGGTTTGAATTCTCTCTCTACTTACTAGCTATGTAATTAATCTTGTTTATCGCATACTCGTGCTGATGGAGCTGTGAAGGGGCCTTACAATTCTGGATTCAGTTTTGGAATTAGGCAAGTAACTAAACTGTCCAGACCCTTTAGCCTCACTATTGCACTAAAGGGCACATACCCCTAAGGAATCAAAGGCAGAAACAAAATCCGGTCTATGCCAATTTATTTGTAGCAGTATCCTTTTGTAGTAGCAAAAAGCTAGAAATAGAAAGGTACTTATCGATTGGGAAATGGCCTCCAAAACAAAGGTATCTAAGTGTAATGGGATATTATTGTACAATGAGAAATGAAGAATTCAAAGACGCGTGGAGAGATTTGTAGGAATTGAAGCAGAATCCAGTAAGAAGGAAGAGAATGAGTATAGAATGAATACATCATTATGAAAAGTTCATAGAAGATAAATGTAACTCCAGGTAACTGAAAACCAACAAGCATTTATTAAGCTATTATTATCTGTGAGACACTAAGTTGGGCTCTAGTGATGCAAAGACAGAGAGAGATTGCTTGGCCTCAGGGAGCTTCCAGTCTAATAGGAGAGACAAGATGTACATAATGAGAGGAGGCATTATGGTCCAGAAGAAATAGCACTGGCTTAGGAGTCAGAGGGCATGGGTTCAGATCTCACTGTTGACACTCCATATCAATGTGACCCTGGACAAGTCACTTAAATCGCCTCTAAAAGGAAGGTGTTGAACTAAATGGCCTCTCAGAGCCTTTCCAGCTCCAGGTCTGTGATCCCATGTGTAAAATTAAGGGGTTGGGATGATCATTAAGATTGTTTCCAGCCCTAAATCCTGTGCTTTTAAAAATTAGTTAGTCCTTTTCAACTGATCATACCTTGTCTAAGAAAGAAGAAGCTATACAGAATATTTTAGAGACTAATTTTCAGCATGTCTGCCTCTAAGGAATTTTGGTCCCTGAAAGACACAGAGTGTTGCCAGGCTGTTTCTCAGGGAAAAGGTTATCAAGTTATAATCACAGGGTTGCTTTCATTTACAGTATCTGAACAAATGATAGCTCATGAATGTAGATGAATTCTCCTGATGGTGGCGAAGAGAGTTATCCTCGCCCTTTTAATAATGTGCTCTGCTCACGTGCTAGCATACCAACATAGAATTCCAAAACAGAATCTAGGGTAAAAAACTTCACAAAAATGCCACTGCCAATGATTATGCCAGTGTTGATTTCTTCTTTGCTTAAAGTTGGACTCACATACTTTTAAACATCTGTTTTATGCTTTTTCTATACCTGCAATGGTCCTTGTAGGTCAGTAGAGAGGCAGCATAGAGTAGTAGATAGTATACTGGATTTGGGGTCAGGATGACTTGGATTTGAATCCTGCCTCAAACACTTATAGCTGTGTAGCCTTGGGTATGTCTCTTAATGTCTCTATACCTCAGTTTTCTCATCCAAAGAATGGGGATCGTGACAGCATCTGCTACAGAGTTGTTGTGAAGATCAAATGAAATGATGTATGTAAAGCACTTTGCAAAGCCCAGAAAAGCTCTGTATAAATGTCAGCTGTCATTACTATTGCTGTTATTGGATTCCTATATAGTATGACTTGAGGGGACCTGAGAAGGCTCCTTCACTTGCCCATCAACTGTCCCAAAATGCACCATTAGTGATTCATTCCTTTGGGTTAAAGCATTATGGTCCCTGTTTAAAAAGCAAATATCCCTTAACCAGAGAGCCCAGTAAAACTTCTAGTCCCTCATACGTCAGTGTGATCCTTTAATTCTGACATAGAATATTAGAAGTGACCTTAGAGGTGAGCTGGTTTAGGGATCTTTAACTTTTATGTGGCAGTTTGATAACCAGTCCATGAGCCTCTTCTCAGAGTAATGTTCTTAAAGAACTGAAGGAAATTATAAATTTCAGTTAGAGGTTAGTAAAAATAAAGATGTAATTTTCCCTATCCAAGATCACAGACCCCCTGAAATCAATCCATGGACCCAAGCCCCAGGTTAAGAACCTCTATTCAGTTCACGCCCAACCTCTCATTGATGAGGAAACTGAAGGTGACAGAGGTTGTGGTTTTCCCAAGTTGTTATCATTTTCCGGTATTTGAGAAACATGTTAGATATTATCTATATCACATAGTTGTAAGCAGATTTTGATGATTAGAAAGAAGGAAAAGAAATTAAGAACATGAGACATGGGCCAGGGAGAGGAGTTGGGGTGGGGATGGTACAGGGAGCATATAAAAACCTCACAGTATCCTAGGATTTAGAGACTATAGAATCCCACACCCTCATTTTACCGGTAGGGAAACTGAGGTCCAGGGAAATTAGGACTTGTCCAAGGTCCCTCAGGGAAGCAATAGCAAAGCTAGGTCTTCATTCTCTAACTCCATATTGTCATGCCAGAAAAGAGAGGTTGAAAACAAAGCCGGGAGCCCTAGAGATGAGATTAGCACTGTTTCCTGGGGACAACGTTGACTGAAACTGTCCACGCTCTTGGGCTTTTAAAAATCACCTTATGTTTAGCAATAGCTGATGAAGAAAGTATCAGTAAATACAGATGTCCTCACACAATGTAATCCAGGCATTGTTACTTCTTGTTTTCTAGAAGTTGGCTGAAACTCAGGACATGGGGATTTGCACGGGAGATTTTATGGCTTAGGAATGCCTGATGGCAATTATCTGGTGATGCTGCATTAAATCTTGAACTCTAGAGGACAGATTCAGGAAAACAGAATTTGCCAGAGGTGGAGGTGATAGTGCCTTTCCACCAGCTCATGTTTACCTGAGAAGCTTAGTTAGAAGTAATGGCTGTATTAAAAAAAAAAAAAAGTAGTAATGGCTGTGTCCGAGGTCTGCAATGGGAGTTCTAAGAAAGACCTGGCTTTTGCTGTCCACCTCTGCCACAACTCCCTGTGTGGCTTTGGGCAGGTCATTTGTATCCTCCTCCATAGAAGGAATGGGTTAGAGTTAATCTGTGGTTCCCAGCCTTTTGCTATGAGGAACCTTTTTTGATGTCAAACAAATTCCATTAATAAACTTCTGCTAGGAAAAGTATTCTTAATATATATATACATGATTTTATACACACACACACACACACACACACACACACACACACACACGATGACAAAGCGACAATACCTGATGCATGTAGGAATACATGGACCCTCTTTTAATAACTGTCACTAAATTGGAGCCACTACAGTAAATCATCCCAATCAATGAACATTTATTAAGCGCTCACTATATTCCAGGCACTATGCTAAACTCTGGGGACACAATGACAGAAGTGAAACAGTCCCTGCCCTCAAAGAGCTTACACTCTATTGGAGGTCTCCATGGTCTCAGTTCTAAAAGTCTGTGATTCTGTGATCTCCCTTGAGCTGCTGAGGTGCTTACTTTATTACTTAGTAGCCATCCCAAATAAGTTTATTCTTCTGGTATTTGTATGCATTTCCAGTTCCTGCCTTGATAATAGGATAATTACAATCCACCTTTATTTGGTGCCTTGAGATTTATAATGCTTTTTTTGCATCAGCCCTGTGGGTAGGTAGTACATGTATCATTATCATCCCCATTTTAAAGATGAGAAAACTAAGGCTCAGAAAATGTACAGGAGTTTCCCAATGTCCAGCTCTCTTTCCATTGTACCATATTACCTTACTAGCCAGCCTCATCTCTCAGCCCTCCTTGATCTGAGAGATAGGTGGTCAAGGCACAATGACAGTATGTTGTTATCTTTCCCAGTGTAGCCCACCTCTATTGATCACATATGTTCTTGGTGCAAGAGGAAGGACTGGAAGCCCTGGGCTTCTGAGGGCTGTTATTGCTTTCTGATACCACACTGTGATTTTCTTTCCTTTACAGGTAGGCATTAACAAAGTTTTTGCAGAGGTCCTCCCCTCTCACAAGGTGGCAAAGGTCCAGGAGCTTCAAAACCAAGGGAAGAAAGTGGCCATGGTAGGAGATGGAGTGAATGACTCCCCAGCCTTGGCAAGGGCTGATGTCGGTATTGCCATTGGGACAGGGACCGATGTAGCTATTGAAGCCGCCGATGTTGTCCTCATTAGGGTGAGCTTGGATCTCTCTACCTGCCTTCTTTTTTTCCCCTAACTTGGAGAAGGAAGTGGGATGGGAGGAGGAGGGTGTAATCAATGAAGATGGCTTCCTGAGTTGCAATATGCTCCTGTGTTTCAGAACGATTTGCTAGATGTGGTTGCTAGCGTTCATCTTTCCAAGAGGACTGTCCGGAGAATACGAATAAATCTGATCTTGGCCTTAATTTATAACCTTATTGGGATACCCATTGCAGCAGGTAGGTGGTGATTTGCAATTGGTTTGTTGCAAAGATGTTCATCAAGTCGGTCTTGACTCGAAAGAAGGAGTAGAGGAGCTGTCTTGGTTTAATTTTTTTATGAATTGGAGATGAGCTGTACCCTGATGGAGAGAGATAACTAGCTATATCATGCATTTCTCTATCTATATTTTTGGGAGACAGATAGAAAATTGTTTACTTGGATCTATCCACCAAGGGAGAGAATGGGGTTTTCTGAGGCAAAAAACTTTGAGGTACCAACAGGATCATAGGACATTTTAACAAAAAAAAAAAATGAACAATTTCTACTTGTACTGCCCACATAAGTGGGAGGGACATCTTTTTTTCCCAGGACAGAGGGTGTGAAAGAAGGAACCACACTATCTTTATGTTCTCATGAGAAAGGTCTCTAGCACATCAGGTAGTATAATAGCTAGCATTTTTATAGAACTTTAAGATTTACAAAGCACTTGACTCACTTTAAGGTAAGGTAAATATTATTAGCTTCATTTTTTGCAAATGAGGAAGAAGGGAAGGAAAGATTAAATGAATTGCCCAAGATCAGACAGCTAAAAAGTGCCAGAACCAGGACCCTCCAAGTCTAACTTTCTTTTTTTCTTGAAATGGAAATTTATTTAAAAGTCTTTTTATTAATTAATTTATTTATTTTTAGTTTTCAACATTCACTTCTGCAAGATTTTGAGTTCCAAATTTCCTCCCCATCTCTCTCCTCCCCCCATCCAAGACAGCCTGCATTCTGATTTCCCTATCCCTCAATCTGCCCTCCTTTCTATCACCCTCTTCCTTTCTCTTAGTCCCTTCCCCTTCTGTTTTTCTCTAGGGCAAGATGGATTCCTATACCTCATTGCCTGTATAACTTATTTCCCAGTTGCAAGTAAAAACAGTTTTTAACATTCGTTTTTAAAACTTTAAGTTCTAAATTCTCTCTCTTCCTCCCTCCCCACCCACCATCGTTGAGAAAGCAAACAATTTGATATAGGTTATACATGGGTAGTCATGCAAAACACTTACATAATAGTCATGTTGTGAAAGACTAACTATATTTCCCTCCATCCTATCCCACCCACCCACCCCCGTTTATTCTGTTCTCTCCTTTGACCCTGTCCCTCCTCAAAAGTGTTGGCTTTTAATGACCCCCTCGCCCAATCTGCCCTCCCTTCTATCATTCCTCCCCTCTCTTATCTCCTTCCTCCCTATTTTCCTGTAGGGTGAGATAGATTTCTATACCCAATTGAATGTGTATGTCATTCCCTCCTTAAGCCAAATCTCATGAGAATAAGATTCCCTCATTCCCTCTCACTTTCCCCTGTTTCCCCTCCATCATAAAAGCTTTTTCTTGTCTGTTTTATGAGATAATTTATGCCACTCTACCTCTCCTTTTCTCCTTCTCCCAGTACAATCCTTTCTCACCTCTTAATTGTATTTTTTAGACATCGTCCCTTCATGTTCAATTTACCCTGTGCCTTCTGTCTATATATATTTCCTCCAACTACTCTAAACTGAAAAAGATCTCATAAGTTGCAAATATCATCTTTCCATGTAGGAATGTAAACAGTGCAACTTTATTGTTTTTGTTTTTGTTTTTTTGTTGTTTTTTTTTTTTTAGGCGATTGGGGTTAAGTGACTTGCCCAGGGTCACACAGCTAGTAAGTGTCAAGTGTTTGGTCTGAGGCCGGATTTGAACTCAGGTCCCCCTGACTTCAGGGCCAGTGCTCTATCCACTGCATCATCTAGCTGCCCCAATAGAGCAACTTTAGTAAGTCCTTTATGCAAGTCCAGTCTTTCTGCCACATTTGATACCATATGGAGAGGTTGTGATCTATGTCCCTAGAGGGAGTATCTGCTGGACAGATGAAATCACACATCTTGCAAAGTATGAAAGGGTCTCTTCGTCCTCACTTGCCCACCTGCTGTCTCCCTTTGCCAACACCCTTCTCTGTCTCTCCCACATCTATCTCAATCCAAAGATCCAGCTCTCCCTTTGGATCTTGTCAAGATGAAGCCCTGTGTCTAAAGTTTGTAACACCTAACTCCCGCATCTCCTTCCCTCCCTACTCCCTCCATGTGAAACTTCTACAGTCAGAAAGCTAGTATTTCCATAGATAGCACTTACATAGAGCTTTAAGGTTTGCAAAGCATTCTACAGATTATCCCATTTTATGTTCACAAGCACCCTGGGAGGTAGATGTTATTATCATCTCCCTTTTGCAACTGAGGAAACTGAGGAATAGGAGTGAAATTTCTAATGTAGAGAAATGCTCACATTGTGGTAGAGAAGAGGGATGAAATCTCTGAACATGACTTCTCCATCTTTAGTCTCTCTCACTTTCTTTGTAATTACAGGCAGCTCATGTAACAGGGATTAGTGCTCTTGCCAGCATTCATTTCTCATTCAGTAGGGCAGTAGAACCATCCCCTCCTCTCAGAATTATGGTTGAAAGCTTGCTTTCACCTCCAGTACTTTTCAGTCTGACAAAGAGCCAGGCACTTGTGTGGCCAGGTCATTTCACCTGTCTTGGTTTCCATATCTATATTGTGTCAGGACTAAGCCCCCTTGTTTCTGTTAAAACAAAATGCTTTGACGTCCTTGGGTGAGAACTGATCTTCAAACACTCCGATGATCTGGTATTTAATCAGCATGAATTCCCTCCACCAATATAGCTTGTTCTCAACCCCTCAGGTCTTTTTGAGTTTCTCCCTGAAAAAATTCATCACCTGGGGCAGCTAGGTGGCGCAGTGGATAGGCACCGGCCCTGAAGTCAGGAGGACCTGAGTTCAAATCCAACCTCAGACCAAACACTTGACACTTACTAGCTGTGTGACCCTGGGCAAGTCACTTAACCCCAATTACCAAAAAAAAAACAAAACCCCCAAAAAAAGAACAAAAAAAAAACCTCCAACAAAATTCATCACCTGCAAACTAACCTTCTAGTGGGGCTTCTAGAAGGGGAACTTTGCTTCTAGTGGGGAGCCTCTCTATAACTAGCTAGTAGAGTAATGGAGAGTCTACTGACAAGCCTTTCTTGAATGCCTACTATGTGCTAGAGATTATAGGTAAGAAGATAAGCCTGCCCTCCAGTAGCTTATATTCTAAAAAGACATATAATTTACTACCAGATAGGATTTGAAACCTTCAGCTTCAAAGGACCTGTCAGAATTTGTGCAATGTAGGCATGGACTTTGGGAATTCTCAATGGGATGAAAGTAGGACTTGGGAGTAACCTGTAAATTCAAAAAATTATAATAATTATTACTATTATTATATAATATTATTATAACTTTGTGCCAGTAGCCTACATTTAAAAAAAAAACAACCCTCTCTCCTGTGTTAATGTAACTTTTTCCTAATTTTTTTTTCTGATCATGTTTGCTGCTTATGATCATAGATGGAGAGCTTCAAGGGGCCTCAGAGTTCAACTATTGCAACCCTCCCTCATTTTATGGATGAGGATGCAGAGGTCCAGGGAAGCTGTGACTTTTCCAAAGACATTTGGGTGGTATACGAGGCAAGATTTGAACCCAGGCCCTCTTGCCTCCAGGATCAGTATGCTTTCCCCTGTTCCATGCTCCATTCCACTGTTTCACTTCCCTTTCCCCAAACCTCTCCCCAAATGCCTTGATAAATTATATACATCTATAAAATTGTCCTTAAACTTTACAACGCCATATGCAGACCAGTTTCAGGAAGAGCCAAGCAGATGGGATCATTAAGGAGCATTAATTCTCTTTTACCATTCCACGATTTCACACTCCCTAGCTTTGAAAACATAGTAACTGAATTGTTTCATTCTAAAGTGCTTTGTGCTTAGTAGAGAAGCTCTGAAGATGATTTTGACAGTGCTCAGGGAGTGGGGAGCTGTGGTGAGAAGGCAGCTTGGTGGCAAGTTGGATATTGTGCCAGACACGGAGTCAGGAAGACTCATCTTCCTGAGTTCAAATCTGGCCTCAGACACTTATTAGCTGTGTGACCCTGGGCAAGTCACTTAACTCTGTTTGCCTCAGTTTCCTCATCTGTAAAATGAGCTGGAGAAGGAAATGGTAAACCACTCCAGTCTCTTTGCCAAGGAAACCACAAATGGGGTCACGAAGTCTCAGACATGACTGAAATAACCAAACAACAACAAAAAAGAGGAGGGCAGAAGAGAAGAGGGCAAGAGAGAGAGAAACATGTAAAACAATAGATTGCCATCCCCCAGAGATAACCTTTTGGGTTTAGGATCATGTTGTAGCTTCTGTGATGGCATAGATGGGGGTACTCTGCCAGATGGTGCAGACCACAAGTCTCCGCACCCTCTCATTCCTTTGCTGTTGCTGTTCATTTCCTTCCACAAATCCTCCTCACCAGATCTCCCTGGCAGGCTGGAGGACATCCTCTGGGCCTTTTAATATGGTGGCTAGCACAGCATTCAGGAGCTTTCCTCGCTATCCATTCTGTAGGCAGGACTAGCACACCTTTACCAATCACACATCTGCTGGATAATTTATTTTATGCCATTTCTTGGGGCAGCCTGCTCCCCTGTACTCTATATTTCTCCCTTGCCTTCTGGATTACCCATGATTTGATTTTTTTGCTACATGATGGTCCATGATTCACAGCCTGATGGCATCACTGGGAAAACACTGGTATGAAGAAAGGATAGATTTTTTTTTTGCCCGAGTTAGGACAACTAAAGGTAGTCCTGGAGTTGTGGTGAGCTGGTGCAGTGCACACTTTCCTTTTGCTTCCTGAAGGGTTTAGTAATTAAATTCAACAAACACCTATTAAACCCCTCCTAGGGGCAAGGCACTGGGGATACAAAATCTAAAACAAAATGATCCCTTCCCTCAAGGAACTTACAGTCTACTAGAGGGACAACAGCCTACACACAGGCAAGCCAACTTAGAGTATCCACAAAGTAACTTCAAGAGGAAGGAAACACTAGGAACTGGGGGGAGGGATCATGAAAGGCCTCAGGCTGTTCTGGAAAGAAGCTTGGGACTCTCTGAGTCAGAGGATGATTGTTTTTGTTTGTTTTTCATTCCTGAAGAAGACCAATGACATCAGGAAGGTGATGTATTGACTTGCGAGTGAATTGGATTTAAGTGAGGCAGGGCTGTGCAAAGTCAGCAGCCTCACTCTCTACTCCAGAGCCATCTAGACCACCAAGGTCAAAGTACAGGGGAGGAAGATGAAGATTATCATACCCTAGTTCCCTCCTACCTATTTAGTCTTCTGACACCCTATACCCCACCATGTACTCTTCAATCCAGTGACACCATTTTCCTGGTTCTTCTACAAACAAGACACTCATCTCTCAGCTTCAGGCATTTTCTCTGGCTGTCCCCCATGCCTGGAATGCTCTCCCTCCTGTGTCTAACTACTGACCTCCCTGGCTTCCTTTAAGTCCCAATTAATAAAAGAAGTCTTCCTTAACCCCTCTTAATTCCAGTGCCTTCTCTCTGTTAATTATTTCCTATTTATCCTGTATATAGCCTGCTGTGTATATATTTATTTTCATGTTGTCTCTTCTATTAGATCGTAAGCTCCTTGAGGACAGGGACTGTCTTTTGCTTCTTTTTGTATTCCTCAGTATTTAGTATAGTGCCTGGCACATGGTAGGTTTTTAATAAATGTCTATTGATTGATTGTAGTGGAGCTATCTGACCAGTTTAACCAAAAGGTAGAATTTTAGAACATAAATCTTGATAGTAAGGATTGGTTCACTCTTTGTTTTTGTATTCTGGTGTCTAGCACTTAGTAGGCACCTAACAAGTGCTCCTTTTTTGCTCAAAAAAGGAGAGAAATACTGGAAAGGCAGGTGGGAGTCATTGTTTAGGGCTTTAAATGTGAGGCTGAGGTTGGTTTTGTTTGCTTTTAAATTTTAATGTATGTTTATTTCTTGTTGGCTAGGCGTGTTCATGCCCATTGGCATTGTACTGCAGCCCTGGATGGGATCCGCTGCCATGGCCGCGTCCTCCGTGTCTGTGGTGCTTTCCTCGCTACAGCTGAAGTTGTAAGTGCCGTGGAGAGTAAAGGGAGACCACAAGGTCTAGGATAGAAAGGCTGTCCCTGCTTGAAAAACACAGGTCACCTTCTCAGCAGAGCTTTTCTTCTTTATGGTCTTGAGATGGCTCATCTGTGAGTCTGGGTTTGCCGCAATGGGGCATCCCTAATCTATTCATCTGAAGCTGAGATTTAAGATGAGAAAGTTTCCAGTGGAGCTGAATGTGCTATTTGTAAAATTATTCATAAACACAAACTCTCTAGTGATGATTAACATGATAAATGTAGCTGCCCTGCGTTATATCCAAATGGTGTCATCTTTGCTCTCAAAGAGGTTCTTTCAGTTGTCTTTTTTTTAAAGATGCCTACTACTTGGGAAAATTTTAAAGTAGGAGAAAAACTGCCCCCTGGCAAGTAGAGCCATTTTTTCCTTTAAAGGAAATGAGATTCAAGAGGACAGGAGGGAAATGTAGCTCCTGTTGTAGGAGAGGTGGGTGAGGAATGTTGCATACATAATCAGAGGTGATTACCGAGTCTGCAGTTTTTGTTTAAATTCCTTTCCCTGGTTACTTGGGAAGTCTCCTGAGATGGGAGTAGAGGTATAACTAGACATGATTAGAGTAAAAACCAAAGGTACCCACAAATAATAAAAGTAAACAATAAAATAACATAAATGGGGCAACCCTTGGTACTGTCTTTTTAGCTTTTCTTTTGGGGATCACCCTTGTTTAAAGTCTTTCAGCAGGCATAACATTTCCTTAGTCTACAAGAGCTAACAAAAAAAAAAACTAAAAAATTCCATAAGGCTTTCCTTGTCTCCTTCTTCCTAGTTACAAGAAACCAGATATGGAAAAGTATGAAGCCCAAGCCCACGGGCACATGAAACCCCTTAATCCATCCCAGGTCAGTGTTCACATTGGGATGGATGACCGGCGAAGGGACAACAAGGCCACCTCATGGGATCAAGTCAGCTACGTCAGCCAAGTGTCACTGGCCTCCCTGATGTCAGATAGGTTGTCTCGGCACAGCTCCCTGATAGAAGGTGGAGGGGACAAATGGTCACTACTTGATCGGGATGAAGAACAGTCCATCTGAAAGGCAGCAGCCATCACAGAACGTTAGCAGCACGATCAGGGTGCCATGTTTCCCGGAGGATCAGTGAGTTCCCCCATACACAAAAGGAGATGGGGAGGGATTCTTTTGCTTCAGCTCAGCTAAACATCTGTAGCATTGCTTTTCCTTTGTGGGGAAGAACTGAAATCTTCTCTGGCATTGGGAGTGATTCTGATGCACTTGCTCTTGACCAGGGCAACCTGTGGCTATTCCCAGAAACAATTTTAGGCCTAGGAAAAAGAGTTCTGATGCATGGCAACCATCTTCAACACTGGTTTGGAATACACATGGAGAAAAGCTTCAGCCTCCACCATTTTATCAATTCTCTGCTTTTGGAGAAGGAAAAAAATCCCCTCTAAAGGGGAGGAAAGCCAGGGTCCCTCACGGTTTCCCTTTTACCGTTTGGGATGAATAGTAATAATGAAATGTGGAAAATCACACTAGTACTAAAAAGCTGGCTAAGCTTTTCTGTAGAGTCCATGTAAAAACTTCCTATCATTGTTTTCATTAATGGAAGTCTTTACATTTATCATATTGTCGAGACCATGGTTTACCTCAAGGTGCCATTCTCTTACAGCATTCGACCTCTTTTTCAGTTTTCATCTTTCCTCCCCCTCTTCCCAACATCCCTTTCCCCTCTCCAGGACCCTTCCCCTGCCCCCACCCCCCATGCTTGTATTCCCTTAATTTGTGGTCATGGTCCTTTGGCCCTTTATTACCCATCTCTGGAATCCCTCTATCTGCTACAGTGTGTTCTGCTTCCTTTCCGATGTTTCTTCACTCTGACTTGACTTGTGCACTTCCTGGCTGAGGTGGTGCATCCGTATATATGTGCCAGATGGCTCACCATCTATCTTTGTGTGATGGGGAATGTTTTTGTCACCCAAGGCCTCTCAGTCATTGCTTCTCACTGCAGAGGGATGGGGTGCACTGTTCTGCCACAGCAGCTGCTGCTGGGAGCCTGAGATTTAAGAGCAGATTAAAACCCTCTCTTCCTAGAGGTTGTGGGGCCCCGGCAAAAGGGGACAGCAGTGCCACTCTGCTAAGCACAGGGCACTGTTCAGGTGTTTGTGATTGGCAAGCAGGGGGCTGGGGAGGGAGGAAGAAATGAGGAGTGTTTTCTGTTGAAAGCAGTCTCTCAAACAGGATTGTTTAGTAAATCAAAGCCTCCTCAGCTAATTCATGGCCTTCTGTAGACCTGCATGAGCCCTGCAAAAAATAGGGAGGAAGTATTTTTGGGGAGTCGAAGGGGGAACAACTGGACCTTCTCAAATGAAAGATGCATATTTTTTAAATTCATCAGCTACTTGCAAATGGCATCCACATCAAGAAGGCAGATGGATCTTGTTTTATTGTCTAAGTTAATTTGCTGCAGCTGATAATTGGAGGGACCATATGGAAATGGGCTGGTGGAAGGACTCCACCGGCTGAAGTAGTAAAATGGACCCTTTAGACAGTGAGGTTGGAGGATTTGTGAGGACAGAGGGGCTGTGACTGATAGATGTTGTGCTATTTCAAGCCGTGATCAATATTTGCCAGCAAAAAATATTTTTAAATGAAAAAAAATTTTACACCCTAGTTTCTGGGGATACATGTGCTATATAAACAAAAGTTAATTGCACTGACGTTGAATGGAGTTCAATAATGAGAGGAAGGTTAGTTTTTCTACGTTATGGGCTATTTTATTTTCCTGGAGTTTTTTCCTCTGAAATCCAGAATTCTATTTTCTTACCTGTCCCTTTTACCCTTTTCTTTGTTTTCCTTCTTTTCTATTGGTTTTCCTCAGTAAAATTTCCATTTTTCTAAGTTAATAACATAAAGGTAATTTTGTTGATTTTTAAAAAGCTTTAAAAATCTTAAATGCCATGTTTATATACTACATGAAAATATTTGTGTAATTGTAAAGAAAAAAACCTCATAAATGTGCAATAGTTGAAGGATTTATTTTGGGACTCATAGAATGTTTACTATTTTTAAAATACTTCTTATGCAACCTTAAAATAAAGTTGTTACCATTTATCCATTTCCAAAACTATTTTCGTCATTCTCTCTTTGGGAGTAGGAGGCTGTACTTTTGGTATTATGTGGTGAGTCCAGGACAGTACTTTTCTAAAGGCTGGCCAATAGTATACTTACAACACTAAAAGAAGTAAAGAGATAGAAAGAGATAGAATTGACAAGATTTAGCGACAGATTAGACATGGCTGGGTGAAAGAGTCAGGAGTTGTGAGTAACACCTAGGTTGCAAGTCTACATGACCAGGAGGATTCTTTGTATCTCCATTGCTTTCACAGTGCCTGATGTATATAGTAGGTGCTAATAAACATTTTATGACTAACCCAACAGTAAGAGGGAAATTTGTAAGAAAGGAGGGTCTTAGGGCAAAGACAACACATTCAGTTTTGGACATGTTGAGTTTAATATGTCTAAATCCAGTACCCGATGTTCAATAAGCAGTTAGAGATGGAAGACTGGAGGTTCAGGAGAGAGGTTAAGGCTTGATAAATAGATCTGAGAATTATCTACATAGAGATAATTGAATCCTTGGGAATTGATGAGATCACTAAGCAAAATAGTAACACAACACAATGATGTTGTGTCTGCAGTCAGGTCAGAGTCAGAAGATCAGGGTCCTGATACCTTAAAGATTTTATTTTCTCTGGGAGAGAATTTGCTATGTAAATATTTATAATCAGTATCATCCAGAAGACTCCAACATGTGATGCTATTAAAACATCATTGTTTCTCCAACAACCTTTTTTCCCCATTAGTCTATGAGATTTTAAATCAAAAATGGCCCTGGTACAATTTCCATTATTGAAGAAATTTAGGGGTATGCTTGCAGTTCTGACGTTCTGTGCTTATGAATTCTGGTTTCAGAAGAATGGTGTCTGAAAATGGGATTGATACTGGAGAAAAACAGGTGATGTCACAGGTTCACTTAAGGGATCAAGGTTAACAGAACCCAACGTAATGCAAAATCAACTCCAAATGCTGGTGAATGAGGAATGACTGATTATTCATGTTACAGAAGGATCTTTTGATTCACAGAAGGGGCTCCTTTCAGAATTCATTTTATATATAATAGGAACCTTCCCCAATTCCATTTAAAATAGCATATTAAATAATTTAGAGAAAATTGACTTGCCTACAACTTTGCCAAATTACATCTGTTCAGTTAATTGAGGGTATACATCCAGACAGCAATGATGCGTGTTTTGACCTTCCCCCTCCCCCACATTACACGTACATGGTGAAAACACATTCTTTACTCAGCAAGAATCAGCCAGTAAGAACATCAGAACCCATTCTTCATTTGCAATCTCCACTTGGGCAATGATACAAACACCCTCGTTTGGGCTGCCTCCAAAGGGAGATGTGTGTATGTCTGCCCTTTCCTTTGTGCAAAGACAATAACCAAGGTTGAAATTACAGGACAGAATGTAAGCGTGTTAAATAATGCTGAAATACCAGCATTTACTTCCCTCTTTTTAAAAAGGATGAATAGACAGAGATGTATTTTGAGCTGGAAAATCATCCAGGAGCTAAACCGTAAATAGAAGTTGGTGGAAATTCAGTATTCTTTTGTGGACAGGCACTTGTGGACAAATTCAAGAGAAAGAGGTGTGTGGGGGTGTGTGTGTGTATGTGGAGGTGGGGGTGTATTCCTTGATTATGCTGTTTAGCCACCTCAACATAGAATCAATTCACATGGTCACCTGAGGTCAGCATGAGTCGTCACCTAGACCTTTAGACAAGCATGTTTGTAGCAAAGGGTAGGAATTTGAAATGACAGTATCCTGATTCCAGTAAAAGGCAGGCGTTTTCTCCTACTCTTTGTCACTCCCTCCAAGCGCCAACTGTAAATACCCCCAGTCAGTGCTTGATACCCTTTCCAGAATCCAGAGCTCAGGATTTGCACTATCAATCTCATGAGAATGTTGATTGAGGGAAAGGAATCAACTTTTTAAAGGCAGCTGAGCATGGTGCATCATTTCCCTCTCAAACCACCAGGGGTCTCTCTAACCAAAACAACCTAGAATTTGAATGGACATGCCCATTTCACCCTTTGCTGTTGTTTTCATGTATCTTAAAAATTCAAACAAACATTTTCATAATGAAAACATTGCATAGAGGGGGAAAAAAACCTAAGGCTGTAGTTTATGCCAGATGTTCCAGTGCGTCTAAAATGTAAACTGGTATTTAATCTAGGCAGGCAGGACAGGATTTCAGAGCACTTTTCAAATTTGCATTCAGCTATGAATAGTACCTTGTCAGGTTTACTTGACAGTCAAATTTCCCCTTTATCACCACCTATGCCTATTGAGAGTGTCATTATTCTTTTGACAAGTTTAGTTTTTTACTTTTTTTTTTTTAAAGCCAGTGCAGGAAAAGATTTTAGATGCTCCTCAAACTTTAGATTATTCTAGAGCTCCAGATTCCAGAGACTTAGAATTATGCTTCAGGGAGACCCCACCTAAATCATCAATGTAGGATGTCTAGCCTAGGCTTAGAATGTCTTACATAGTACGTGCCAAGGGTGCTTGATGAATTTTAATGGACCCATTCTTGAAAAACAGTGGTCACAGGGCAGCTGGGTGGCGCAGTGGATGGAGCTTGGGCTGTGGAGTCAGGAGGACCTGAGTTCAAATCCAGCTTCAGACACATAACACTTACTAGCTGTATGACTCTGGGCAAGTCACTTAACCCCAATTGCCCCATAAAAAAAAATTAAAAAAAAAAAACAGCTGGTCACAAGAACATAGAACTAGGAGTCTAAGGAACAGCATTCCCATTCTGGTCCTATTACTGAGTTGTGTGGCCTTAGGCTAGGGAATTATTTAGAAATCTCTCTAGGACTCACAATAACCTTTGCTTCATCATTAGGGATGCATATTGCATCACCACCAAGCCTTAGTAGAATGTAAGCTCCTTGAAGGCAGGGACTTTTTGTTTTTTTGTACTTGTATCTCCAGTGCCTAGCATAGTACCTGGCATGTAGGAAAGTACTTAGTAAGCGCTTATTAAATTGAATTATTAGACCACTTTATGAGTTGCAGTGGCTGAGATGATAATTAGCTGATGGCTAATTATGATAATGAGCTTGTTTCTTGGACCCCACAGTCTGTCACCAGCCTAGCCTCAAAGCCCTTTCCAGTTGAGTCCTGCCAGAAGTTTAGGTCCACTGTAGAGAGAACCCAGGATCACTTCTATACCAGTATGAGGACTTGGAACAGGACTTTAGTGGAAGCCATTGGTCAAATGGTCTGTCAGTCACACAATGCTTGTCTGTCACACAACTCTCTCTAAGGTAGAAAAAAAGACAAATAATGCATGAAAATCTGTTTTAAAAAGCAAAACAGCATCACACAATTTAAAGTAGCATTGCATTATTGTGTCTTAATGTTTTCTCTTGTAAAAATCTCCCTGATCTTTGCTTTTCATTTTCTCATGATGTTGGCTTACTCTTCCTTTTCCTAATCCGATGCCCCCATTGCTTTCCTCAGAATATGATTATTCAACAGACCCACTAGGAACATGTGACTAATAACCCTCAAGATGAGTGGAGGAAAGGTTAGCCTGGACTCCCTTGGGGAGGTAGGACGGGGTTGAGCTAAGAAGGCAGCATGGTACAGAGAAAACAACACTGGATTTGAAGTCAGAGAACTTGATTCTGCTACCAGTGTGACTTTAAGAAAAATCACTTGACCTTCTGGACCTCACTTTCCCCAACTATAAAATTAAGGAGGTCTTACTAGAAGTCATCTAAGGTCCTTTCCAGTTCAGAAATTTAAATTTATTACCCTCCCAGATGGAGAATTTACTCTTCTGAGCTTCTTGCTTTGAAACTGGGACTCATTTCACACATGCCCTGAAGGAAGGAATGCCTGCCCGCTGAGGGCTTGGAGGGCAAGGTTGAGAGCAGAATAGGGACTTCCTCAACACTCACAAGAGCCAGCACTAGTTGGAAAATAGCAGAGACCATGGAGACAGGAATATCCCATTTCCCCATTGTCTGTGAGACGGGGTTACTTTCCAAGAACCTGGAAGTCAAGGGGTCACCATAGAGTTGGTGCCCAGAGGGTCTGAATAAGTCATTGGTTGTCTTATAGTCACATAGGCTCTACCCTGATAGAAATGCCCTTTCCTTACACATTATCCTGGTAAAGACCCATCTTTAGATTTGTGGGTGCAGAACTCTAGTTAGCAGCTGATATTGTTGCCTGGAAGCCTTTCTACCACACCAAGCAAATATTCAATAAACATCATTCTCCCATTTCTACTTAAGTAAACAGTTATTCCTTGTTTTGGAGAACCAGCATTAGAATAACAGGTCTTTCAAAAATTATATTTTTATTGAGATAAGGCATTAATTTATCAGCTGTACTTGTCAATAGAAAGTTTCTTCTAAGAGATGTCCAGATAATTGAAATTCCCTATCGCTATTCTATCTTGCCTCTTTTCTGGGATTATGATGTTTTCTGAGATCTTGATGAATTTCTTCCTGATTTCCTCCTTTTATCTCAGTGGTTTTGAGAATGCACCTTCCACACCTACACCTGATACACATACAAATGGGCTTTCACTATAGTTCCCCCCTTAAAACTCCTGGATTTCCTTATGTGAGCATAGTACCTCCTTGGCATGGGATGCCACTGCAAGCATTTGCTCAGACTCAAACCCTTCCCCTCTAGAGAAAGAGTAGAGGACAGACCTAGAAACATCTGGAGTG